ATCCACTCACCTCAGCCTCCCTAAGGCGCAGGATTACAGGCTGAGCCACTGAGCCCGGCATGAGCCCACGGGTTTGACACCAGACTAGGCAACATGGCGAGACCTCATCTCCACAATAAATAAATAAATAACTAGCTGGGCATAGGGGTGCATGCCTGTAGTTCCAGCTACTTGGATGGCTGAGGCAGAAGGATCACCTGAGCCCAGCAGGTCGAGGCTGCGGTGGCTATGAGCGTGACACTGCACTCTAGCCTGGGCAACAGAGTGAGACTCCAACTCAAAACAAAAAACAAAAAACAAAGATGTATTGTGATAAAAAGTGTACAACAGGGTACATGGTGTGTGTGTGTATTTAAAAAGGTCGCAGATTCATAATATGCTTGCTTTTGCAGAGAACATTTCTAGTAAGACAGGCAAGAAATTATTCACATGAGGTAAGGATGATGACATGAGTCATTTTGACTACAGGTTTTTTTTGAACTTTTATGTTATAGCTATTGGAGCTCTTAAATTTTTTATTTATTTATTTTTGGAAGCGATAACCCAAATGCTAAAAGTATAAGAGGATTTATAGTAAAGTCTCCCTCCAACACCTGTTCCCTGGTCTCCCCGGTTCCTCTCCCCACAAGTAACCACTGTTAAACCAGTTTCTTTGGTACATGGTAAACTCATCCATTAAAAATTAAAAGAGTGAGGCTGGGCACAGTGGCCCTGTAATCCCAGCACTTTGGAAGGCCGAGGTAGGAGGACTGGTTGGGCTCAGCCTTGACAACACAGCAAGACCTCATCTCTACAAATTATCAAAAAACTAGCCAGGCATGGTGGCACACACCTGCAGTCTCAGCTAATTGGGAGGCTGAGGCTGAAGGATCCCCTGAGCCCAAGAAGTTGAGGCTATGATGAGCTGTCATTGTGCACTGCACTCCAGTCTGGGCAACAGAACAAGACTTCAACTCAAAAAGAAAAAATAATTAAAAGAGTGAAAAAGTGCCCGGGCGTGGTGGTTCCCAGCACTTTAAGGGGCTGAGGTAAGAGAACTGCCTGAGCCCAGGGGCTCGAGACCAGCCTGGGCAACTTGTTGAGACCTCATCTCTACAATAAATCAAAAAATTAGCCAGGTATGGTGGCATGTGCCTATAGTTCCAGCTACTTGGAAG